CTATGAAGTTGCACATGTTACCAAATTTTCAATTTTTTTAGTTATAGTACAGACCACTGTACTTCATAAGTCTCATTCATTCATTCATTCATCATTCAATGAATGATTAAAGGCTCACAGGCCTGTTGATAAGTATTGGGATTACAGTAAGACATAATCATCCACTTTAACCATGTGATCAAATTTAGCATTACCAATAATAAGTATTAGTATTCAAATCAAATGTCATAATGTGCCTCCTGAGGAGATGCACTAAGGACACAATATCACCTTTATAGTTTCTTGCCAAACTTGTTTAACCTGAATCTAATTATGCGGAAACAATCAGACAAATCTAAATTTGGGGCAATGTACAAAACTGGCCTGGGCTCTAAAAATGTCAAGGTCAAGAAAAGGAAAAATAAAAGGCAAGAAACTGTTGTAGGGTAAGAAGACTATAAAAACATGATTAATTAAATATGGTAAATGAAACTTGATTGGATCCTGGATTTTCTTAAAAAGCTATAAGGGTCATTGTTAGGACCAGTGGAACATTTGAATATCTACTCTGTATTATTTCATTATATATCATGTTATATCATATTGTTTATACTCTCTATTAAGTATATTATATTATTGTGTTAATGGTAGATGTTGGAGTATGCCAATAATATTGTCATTATATAAGACGATGTCTTTATTTTTAGAAGATACATACTGGAGTATTGAGAGGTAAATGTCATGATGCCTAAAGCTTAGTTTCAAATAGTTTAGTAAGAAAAAAATTATATCTATATTAATAAATAGGTATATTAATATCTACATTGTAATATGTATATATATAGGTGATTATTTTATTAGTTTCCTAGGGCTGCTATAAAAAATTACCGGGTGGCCTGAAACAAGAAAACTTTATTTTCTCACCATTTTGTAGGCTAAAAGTCTGAAATAAGGGTGGTGGCAGGGTCACGCTCCCTCTGACGCCTGTAGAGAGGGTCCTTCCTTACCTCTTTCAGCTTCAGGTGGTCACCAGCAATCCTTGGCATTCTTTGATCTGCAGCTTCATCACTCCAATCTTCCCCTCTGTCTTCACATGATATACTTTCTGCGTGTCTTCATCCAGATTTCCCTCTTCTTATAAGGATACCAGTCATTGAATTAGGGCCCATCCTAATCCATCATGACCTCACTTTATCTTGCTTATATCCGCAAAGACCATATTTTCAAATAAGGTCATATTTATAAGTCCTGGGTAGACATGAATTCTGGGGGGGCAATATTCAACCAGTATAATATATAAAGGTTTTGTGGCAGGAGGGTGGAAGGGAGGGAGGAAGGAAAGAAGAGTGCATAATGTGGCAAAATGTTAACAAATGGTGAATTTTGGTGAAAAGTATGTTTATTTTACCATTCTTTCAAATTTCCTAAAGATTTGAAATATTTCAAAGTAAAATAAAATTTGGGGAAAAATGCTATACAAAAAATAATAATAATAATAAGGGGGAGGCAAGAGGACATGGACCTTGCCTATAAGGCTATCTTGATGTTATGAAGGACATAGTGGTGGGACATGCATCATGATGTTCTCAGTACATGTGCGACAAGAACAGAGACAATAGTGCTAACTCAGCTTGGGCACGTTACAAAGGGTTTTCAATGAGAAGTGACACCCAGCTGAATAGAGTTCTGCAAGACAGTGCAGGAATCAGCTGCAGGGATGAGGGTACACTTGGGGAACTGCCAGCAGGCCAGAATAGTTGGAACACAGGGCATGTGTATAAAAATGGTGGGAGTTGAGCCTGGAGAGAGGCAGGAAGCATGTCATCAAGATGCTGCATTGACAGGGTAAGGGGTGTCAAATATGTGATGACAGCAAGAAATCTAACTATGGGAGGTGAACACACAGTAGAAATATATATATGCCTTACTGTTAAAGTGTACAGCTGAAACTTATTGGATTTTGTTAACCAATGTCACCAGAAAAAATTTTTTTTTAAAAAGGATGCTGCGTTAAGAGAATTGGGTTTTGCCATGAAGGCCAGGAGGTGCAAAGACTGGACTTTAGGCAAGGTATAACCTAAGCAAATTTTTGTTTGGGGGCTAGGAGTGTGGAGAAGCCTGCAAACAACCAGTTGGGAGATTGGTGGGACAAACCAGATAAGAAATAAGGGGCATCAGAGGAGGGGAGGGTGTAAGAAAGCAGTGAAGTAGCTAAAACCAAAAAGGCTTGCTGCTGAATGCTTAGAGAGGTTGCAAAAGAGGAGAAAAAAGGTGGCTTGGGTGACTGGGTGGTTGATGTGGCCTTCCCTGCAAGAGATACAGGTGGAAGAGAAGGAAGAGCTACAGACAGAGGTTGTGGGGGGCGGGGGGGGCATCAGAGGAGGGGAGGGTGTAAGAAAGCAGTGAAGTAGCTAAAACCAAAAAGGCTTGCTGCTGAATGCTTAGAGAGGTTGCAAAAGAGGAGAAAAAAGGTGGCTTGGGTGACTGGGTGGTTGATGTGGCCTTCCCTGCAAGAGATACAGGTGGAAGAGAAGGAAGAGCTACAGACAGAGGTTGTGGGGGGCGGGGGACGGGGGAGGGGGATGCAGGCTGTGCGCAATTTGGATGTGCTAAACTTGAAGGGCCAGCTGGAGGGCTCAGTGAGATGACCTGAAGCACAGGAAATGGACCTGGCCTGGTGACTCATGCGTATATTGATGTTGAGTGCTATCGTGCATTTTGAGATCTTCCAGTTAGAGTGTAGAGAGAAAAAGTATGTAGTGACAAGTAGAAGGCCTCATGGAACCTGAAAAGCAGGGCAAAAGGAGAAGGCCAAGCGAAGGAGACCAATGAGAGGTAGACAGAGAGGGCAGGAACTTGCAAAATCTGACATCTTAAAGACAGTGGCCCCCTTTGTACATTGTCGATCTGCAGCCACAGGAAGGAAATAAAAGAATGTGAGCGAGAAGGCCTCCAGGAGGAAGTCTTGGGTACACTGTACAGCATGCAGGATAATGGCCTTCCCTGACACACTTGGAGTCTCTGGCAAGTTTTTTTTTAAATACCATTTGGTAAAGTCAATGTTCGCATTTTGATAATTGTCCTGTCCAATGGCTTATCCTAAACTCTGGCCTGGGATGTAACTGTAAGAGCCTAGGTGTGGTACATGAGAGAGAAACTGGGTGAGTGAAATATAATCATCCTGTAGCTGCCAGCCTTGATATCCGTGACAGATCAAACAATCGAAGTGCATTGTGTTCCGCTGCTTGCATCACCTGGTCATGAGTTGTCAATGGAATCTGTGGAATGGATTGTTCTCTTGGAGTCACCCAATATCCCTGAACAATGGAAGCACACATTCTTCGTTTTATATAAGAGCTAATAAGGAATGCGCCATCCACTTGATCAGAAGCAGGGAGCTGTCACTGAGGCCTGCCTGCCTGCTTGCCTCCTTTCTCTTTCTCTTTATCCTCTGTCTCCTCATTGTCCCACCCTCCTCTTTTTAAAAAAGAAAAGACCAGGGAGGGAGGGAAGGGAAAGAAAGATAGATCCACTGTGCACAGGTCACTAGAAGAATGACACCACTGGTTGGAGGGAAGATAAATATGAAATAAGAAAAATAAGGATAATTCTGGGTTTTACACTTCGTAGAATTTGTTCTTATTTCTTTGTTGGTTTTTTTCATTAAATACTCTTCTAGAAAGAAGGCATTAAATATGAGACAACTATCGTGAGCCCCCTCCTTATACATTGAGGTTTAAGAGCTGAGAAAGTCCCCTTCTCCAACTGCAATATTTTAGGGTGTTTTGGTTGCATGTAACATGATCCCCAACTTAAAATGAGTTAAATGATAAAAGATACTGATTAACTTAGCACTGGAAAGTTCAGAAGCAGTGGTTTCAGTGTCCGTTTGATTTACTAACTTGTCAGATATCTTTACTTTCTATGGTGTCAACTTCAAACTAAGGCTGGCTCCCTGTTTCAGTGTTCATCTCGGGAGACAGGAGGCCTGCCCTTAGCACGGGGCTGGATTGCCCATGACCCTCTGGCCTGGGAAATGTCATGTGCTGATTGGCTAAGCCTCGGCTTTCCTGAACCAGTCCATACAGCACAGGTGGGCTCATCCTAGAGACAGAGTCATCATGTGCACAACAAAGGAAGGGTGGAGTGGATAGAGGGGTGAAAACCACAGTGCCCACTGCTATAGCTCCTAAATTCCTTCAAATTCTTGCACTGAAGATTAAAATTTTATTTAAAGAGGACTTTAAGACTCTCATTCTGAAATTTGAGATAAAATTGAAATAGTAACAGTAAATTTATACTGAAATGTGTTGGGGGAGTAAATTTTTACTGTTACAAATGTCAAGTGAGCTAAGAAGTAATTTTATTTCTCTACAATTGAATTAAATTAACTCATGACCCCCAATTTCTACTTGTTAATAGAAAACTCGTTCTTTCTAATCAAGATAAATTCAATTCTTCCCATTTAAAACCTGGTTTTTTCTTTGTTTTAATTTTTGAAAAGCACTGGTTAGCATTCAATGAACCTCCATCCATGTAACTTCAAGTCACCAGGACGTAAGCTCCCTACCCCCACACATACCCTTAATCTTCCTCTCCGCCTTTCTGCTAAAGCAGCAGTCCTCAACCTTTTTGGCACCAAGGACCAGTGCTCCTATGAGAATCTAATGCCTGATGATCTGTGGTGGAGCTGAGGCCGTGATGCTCACGCCGGGGAGTAGCTGCAAATATAGACAAAACTTCTTCCCTAGCTCACTTGCCTGTCATTCACCTCCTGCTGTGCAGCCCAGTTCCTAATAGGCCACATACTTGCACCCGTCTGCAACCCAGGGGTTGGGGACCCCGTGCTAAAGAATTTGGCCTTCACCATGACAATCTGCTTTGGGAGCTTTTCCTTCCCCAGAACTCTGTAGTAGCCCTAGGAGAAGAGAGAAATGGGTTTATCCCACACCATGGTGGGTACCAACTCCCTGGTGGGTGTGAGACGCCTGCTGACCCACTCTATCTAGGAGCCAGTGAGGGCCTGTTTCTGATCTGGGTACTGCTGGGGGCCTGCCAGTGAATCAAGACGAGCAGATTCTCTCCAAGGACTCTAGCACACCAGGATGAGAGCTGTATCAGGATGTAACTCTAGTCTTGAGAAACCCAATCCTTCTTGAGTAAATTTTTAGCCAATTCAAGATTCTTCTCCTCCTACCACTTTTTTTTTTTAACCGTTTCCCTAAGGATGATCTTGATTCCTAGCATTCTTATGTACGTTCTTGACATTTACGGAGTGGGCAACTGTGAACTCCTCCTTGTAAAGAGGCCTCATCTGAGCTGGCTTTGGCTTTTGGCATCCGTCCGTACTGCCATCCGCTGCTGATGTCCATAGGCTGCCCCTGCCCTTTGGCTTCCAGGTCCCCACACTAAGAGGGCAATCCCAGTCCATCGGCTTTCTCTCAGCTGAGCTCTTGCCTGGACTCATTAAGGAAACGTGTGTGGGAAGCCATGGGAAAAGGTCTGCTGTTTTTCTGTGCTGCTCTGATGCTGCAGGAACTTGGAGGTGGAGGCAGAGGGTCTATCTCACATGGTCTCTCCAGCTTGACCTGCCTGGTGGCCATTACCCCTCATGTTGGCATAGGGCTCTCAATGAAAATGTCTCCTGGCAGAATTCTGGAGGGAGAGTGGAGGCACAAGTCCTCCTGCTCTGAAGCTCCCAAACCCTTCTGAGGGTTTCCATCATCCCCAGCCCTGGGATTTGGACTTTCCATCAGCCACCCTGACCAGTGACTTACTCTCTTGCTCTCTTTTTTGCTTTTTTGTCCAGCCCAGCAAAGATTTTTTAAAAATACCTCTCTGTCTAGTTTGAAGCATAGTGGGTAGGTGAATTTTACATAATTTTCTTTTTTTTCTTTTTTTTTTTTTTTTTAATCTCCAAGTTATCTCATAAACCCTACTGCTTAGTAGTTTGGCTCTAGGTCTGGACATTGACTGCAACATGTGATTTGGAACTATTTTCTCAGCTTTAGCAATACCATAGAACTTTCTCACAAATTGAAGAGTATGCTATGCTCAAGCTTTTTTTCTTATTGATTTTGTTTCTGGAAACACATTTAGCACAATGTTCCTTTTGCTGGGGCTCTGGGTTCAATTCTCTTGAGGTGAGTGGTGATATAGAGAGATATGATATTCACTTTTTTTCTCCAGAGATTCTTATTTTTAACATTGAAAAAATGGTCTTGTATAAAAAAAAATCATTGTTTGCAAGGCAAATGGGAAGGCATTTAGGAGCAAATGACAGCTGTTTCTGCTGTTTCAGTAGTGGGCTAGTTTAATAAGGCATGGATTAGCAAAGTGTTGGATAAACATTGGGTCAAGTCTGGTTGAATACTTCTAGTATGTGATATTGCAACTTCATGTTCATTTCCTTTTTCTGTGAGAAATCTGCTTCCTGAAAAGGCACCCAGAAGTTTTAGGCTCCTAGAACAAGGCTTAGGTCAGCTGCTGTGATGGCCAGCTCACAGCCACAGCTTGCCTTTTCATCCTCCAGGGTCTTGTTAATAGATACACACCTCTTGATTCCTTTAATGCTTAACTGAGAGTAAATACCACCAACATGGTTGAAGGTTTCCTTAGAGTTAAAATTGTGTGTAGTTCTGTTATCTTTAGTATATTTAGTTGCTTTCCCTCTTTTCTCAGTAGACATTGAATCTAACATTCTAGCTGAGTGAGTGATAAACACTCACAAGATGAAAAATACAACTTGGAGGGGAAAAAAACTAGAGAAAGGTTTTCTTTCTGGGTAGAAGGACAGAGCACATGAGATCTCTCTCACACCCATACAAGCTTTGAATAAACAGGACATGGAGCAGAGAGGACCAGATTAACAAGTGACACTCAGATAAGAAGCCCCGCTCGCCTCTGCACTGGCACCCTCCAGACAGGCGTGGTCACACATGGAAGCTGGATACTGACTCACTGGTCTTTGGGGGAGGATCCTCCTAACCAACTTCTCAGTGGACTCAGATGCATACAAAGGAAAAATTGCCAAAGATGTACTTGCTTTCCCAGGTTGCCCTAGGGTACATTAAATTAGCCTGAAACATGACTTCTAGATTCGACGTGTGGTTGGGAGTCCCCCCATGCAGAGGGCTGATCGTATGCATTGTTCTTTGCCATTTTATGTAAAAACGTTGAGCATCTGTGGATTTTGGTATTTGTGGTGGGTCCTGGAACTAATCCCCTGTGGATATCAAGACATGACTGTGTTTAATTTTGGGGGGGAGTCAAAATTTATATGTGGATTTCTGACTATGCAGGGGTCGGCAACACTAACTCCTAAGGAGAGTTATATAGAGAGATCTGATATTCACTTTTTTCTTCAGAGATTCTTATTCAACTGTATAGAAATAGTTGTGCTGTTTGCTTGGGTTTTGCAATTTCCACCTCCAGTACCCTCCCACTCAGAGTTTACATAGAATAGAATCTTTTTACTGTGTAGCCAATGAAATGACAGGATTTCCATTAAAGCATTAGTCAAACGGTGGCTCTAAAAGCTCTGAACATTGAAAATACAATCTAATAGAATAACTCAATAAAGTGAAGGTTTAGCCTATGTCCCAACACCAGCATCATGGAGGGACTCAGCTATGTTCACTCTTTAATTAAAGACAAATATAATTCAAATATAATTCAAATATAATATTTGTGAGACTGTCACAACACAAATAATTTGTACAAAGAAATATAGAGTAGTGGTTAAGAGCACAGTTTTTGTGAGTGACAGTCTTGGGTTGATCTCAACTCAGCCACTCTCTTAATCCCAGCAAGGTGCTTAACCCTGTGCAAACTCGAGCTTCTTCTCCAGTATACTATGAATGGTGTACATGTGTGTCAAGAGACCAATCCTCTCAGCCTTCGAGGAGGTGCTATAATGGGAAAAGATCACCATAATCTGAGCTTCTGCATCTATCAATCATAACTGTGTTTTCTTCCTGGGCTTGGTTTGAGGATTAAATGCAGATCCCCCCAAAATGTTCGCACAGAACTTAGTAAGCGATTACCAAATGACAGTGTGCCTTGTCCATACAGCCCTTGGCCAGCTATCCAGTTTAGCCAGCACTTGGAAAACATCTAAAAGATAATTACCTCCCACTTCTTTGCACAAAGAAAATCTTGAAAGCGAGGAACAAGACCATCAAACAGATGATTCCTTTCCAAGAAGGCTGATGGTGATGGCCATTGGAGCCAATCCTGCTCTCTTTGACGGCTTGCTCTTAAAGACTTTCTTCTTTTACAATAAGTAGCTGGAAAGTATAAACACTCCAATCTCCTCTTCTCCTGGGAATAAAGTTATTTCCTCAAATTTAAAAACCTGGGGCAGTTCATTTTCAATACACAAGAAGAATCAGGGCCAGAATTTATTTTTCCTCTTGATGAGCTATCGTTTTGTTTCATTTTCGTTGTGGACATCTTATAATAATTTACTTCATATACTGCGCTTACTGTAGGGACATATATGTTAGGGTCAGAGAGGTGGCCAGAGTATCTATAAAAAGCAGAAGCATAGTTAAATTGAAATGGACACTTAAAAAAACCTAAGTGAGATTTGGTGATTTCCCAGAGAAACTCAATGGCCAAAGTCACTGGAGTCAGAAACCATTTTCTCATCACTCTAAACTGTGTTTCCAGGCTGCTCCCATTTGTCCCCAAGGGACCGGCTGCTTCAGTAGCTCAGGAGATGAATGACTCTGCAGAAGACAGACGTGAAGAGTCTCTGGGCATATCTTAGAGAACACTGTTACGGAAAAGCCGAGGTTGAGCTCATAACTGGTGCAAAAATGTTTAAAAGCAACACAGTGTGCAGAGGTTTTGTATTTAAAAACAAACAAACAAACAAAACAAAGTGATAAGCATATAAAACTGCCACCCTTTCTTCTTGACCCAATTAGCTGTTTGGATGTGAAAAATAATAACTGATATTACATGCACTTAATTTTTTAAAGGACTTTGCACACAATCTGGAAAGCGGGCAATAAGTGGAAATAAGAGAGTTATGCTCTTTAGCCAAGTTTTAATTTTGCAACTGCAGAACACAGCCCCGTGTCTGGGGTAATTAGTGTCTTAGAGCAGAGATGGGAATCTGGAGACTGAAATTCCAATACCTATGTTATAACTATTTAGCTCTATGACCCTGGGGCCAGACAAAGAAAATCTTGCACATTTTCCACCTTTAAAATTATTATTTATAAGGTTCAAGTGTCCATGGAATGAAATTCAGAGACACAGGGGTTCAATAAATGAGGTTATGCATGAAAGACCTGGTCCAGGGTGTGGTATGCAACAGATGTACCATAAGGTAGCCTCTGGTGCGTGTGTAGAGCACAGAGTCCTAGGACTTTAGAGCTGGGTGGAGACTTAGAAGTTATTCTATCTCCTTTATTTGTCTTTGCTTGTCTCCACTGTAACCCAATGTGCATTGATGTTACAGATTAAATTCTCATAAAACAATTTTATTTCCTGCACTTTCAAGCTATTGGGGAAGCTATCAGGGATGGGTGCAACCCTCATTGCTGTTCCCAAGTTCAAACACATGGGACAATTACAACATGGAAGATAAATTATCTGTTTAGTTGTCTGTTTCTTCTTGACTGAGAATTCCTTGATATACAGGGCTCTATATCCCAGAACCTAGCACAATGTCTGGTGCAAAGCAGATGTTCAATAGGTTTTTATTGTTGTCATTGTCAATTGAAACATAAAGGAAGATGTAGCCCAATCCAATTGGCTTTAAATTCATCTGAAGACATGATAAGTTAGCAGATGAGTGATATCTCATGGAGCCTAGACAATGATGGGACATCAAAGGATAAGCACTTGTTACTGCTATCTGGCACTGCAGGGGTGATCAGCATCATTAGCCAGTAGTTTCTCATGATGGTCACAAGAGAAGCATAATCTCTGATGAGTGCTCTGACTGTTGTCCTGAGTCTTTTATACCCTTAAAGCTAAAGTTAGTACCGGCTTCTCCCCAAGGAGGCTAACCCATGCAGGCTACACTTCTCAGTCTCCCAAGTCAACTGGCTTCTGACAGCGTTTGACCAATGGGAAATGGATGATTGGAGGGTGAGAGAAAGACAGAGCCAGGGTATTTCTCCTG